AACTTCGTAAAATTTCAGACTCTAAATTTTGGCAATATGTTTTTAAAGCAGTCTGTGGAGAAGAAAAGATGTGCAACAAAATTATTATGGTGAATTTCCTGCTGAAATAAGCAGATAGTAAAATTTGTCCTGGCTAGTTAAAGAGTTCCTAAGATTTTATACAGGACTGAAGACATTAAAAGCAAAACAAAGAAAGTGTGCTGCTTATATATCGCCCCATAGCACTTCAAGCACTCATTGGGCGGTTTATAAGTTAATTATGCGGGCTACACATTTACCCCTCCCCCCCAGCTGGGTACTCATTTTACCGACCTCGGAAGGACAGAAGGCTGAGTCAACCTTGAGCCGGCTACCTGGGATTGAACCTCAGGTCGTGAGCACAGTTTTGGCTGCAGTAAAGCAATTTAACCACTGCAGCAGAAGGCTCAAGTGAGTTGTTAGAGGCAGCTGTAGACTAAACATATGTTTGCATTTGTTATTGTTTATTTTTTGCAGAGCAAACAAAGTAGAGTGTATAACAGAAGAGCATACCCTAGTGGTCTAATTGGGAATAAAAAGCCACTAAGATAGATGGAGGAATTTATTTATTTTACATTCATCCCAAGACAGTAATTTGCTTTAATAGTGTCTGCCTGCTTTTAGCATCTCTTCATTAGTTGTTGTGAGATTTCAGTTAGTGGAACAGCTTTGTTGTTTGTACTAAAAATCCCAGTGGCAGTGAAAGCAAGAAGAATACAGAAGTATGTGGCTGCAGTCCTATACACATTTTTTTCTGGGAGTAAGCCTCATACAACTGAATTGAAATTATTTCTGAATATATGTGCAGGATTTGGTTGTAGGAGAGGTGAAAATCATGATGCCTTCTTAGGCAGATCTAATAGAAACATCAGTATACTAAGTGAGCAGGGACCCATATAATTGGCCATATCCTGAGCAATTAAATATGCTTGTTACCCTCTAAGGCAGAGATCCCCAGCCCCCGGTCCATGGCCTGGTGCCAGTCCATGGCCTGAGCTGCACCAGGCCACGGAGACCAGACCTGTGTGGTCGCTACGCAGCCATTTGTTCATGAGTATGAGAGCGCCCGCACAAGCGCCACACTGCTGTTTGCGTATGCACATGCGCACGCGAGGGAGAGCTCATCTGTGCACATGCACGAGTACAGGGATGCCCTGCCTTCCCCAGCCTGTCTGTGGGGTGAAAAAGGTTGGGGACCCTTGCTCTAAGGCCTTCGGCATCATTCAAATCAGGATGTGAAGTAGGACAGAGATTTCTGTGAAAGCCTGGAGGGCACCAATCTGTATAAACAAGAGAGGGAAACTAGGCAATACGTTATTGGAAATGGAGATATTGAATATAACATACTGGTGATATCATGTAACGGTCACCTTGCAAATTATTAGAAGTACAGTGGTGCCTCGCTTAGCGACGTTAATCCATTCCAGGAAAAACATTGTTAAGGGATTTCGTTGCTAAGCGATTTTTAAAAGCCCATAGAAAAGCATTAAACCGTGTTTAATGTGTTCTTATGGGCTCAAAAACTGACCTTATGCGAAGATCCTCCATAGGGGCAGCCATTTTCAGTGCCTCTAAAGCGAAGCAAAACAGCGGTTGCCATTTTGTTTTTCCGGCGGCCATTTTATAACCGCCGATCAGCTTTGCAAAAATGGGGTGTTTGCGATGATCACTTCTGCGCGATCATCGCAAACACCCTGTTTTCGCACAGCTGATCAGCAGGTCTTCGGGATGATGGGGGGAAGCACTTCTCCCCATCATCCTAAAGCCCACATTTTCACCCAGCTGATCGGCAGGGCTTCGGGATGATCGCGGGGAAGCACTTCGCCTGCACAAGCGCCACACCGCTGTTTGCGCATGCACACGCGCACGTGAGGGAGAGCTCATTCCATGCACATGCACGAGTACGGGGGATGCCCTGCCTTCCCCAGCCTGTCTACAGGGTGAAAAAGGTTGGGGACCCTTGCTCTAAGGCCTTTGGCATCATTCAAATCTGGATGTGAAGTAGGACAGAGATTTCTGTGAAAGCCTGGAGGGCACCAATCTGTATAAACAAGAGAGGGAAACTAGGCAATACGTTATTGGAAATGGAGATACTGAACATAACATACTGGTGATATCATGTACCTGTCACCTTGCAAATTATTAGAAGTATTAGCAACAGTGAAGAAGCAAAAGTTAAGAGTGACAGAAATAGGGTCAGGATTACCAAAGTAACTTTTCAGTTTCTGGTGCAGAAAGGAAAAGAGAACTATAATGATAATCCGTGGAAAGAAACAGAAGAGAACAGCAAATAAGGAAAAACAAGATTTATCTTCTACATCATCTAAGAAATCAGAGGTCAACAGGGGAATAATTAACTAATTGAAACAAAATAAAGAGAAGATGGAAACAGTGGCCAGTGCCTTCTTATAGAGCTCAACATGTACAGCAGTACACTAGTAGTAGAAGATTGCCATTAGAGAAAGAGGTTACAGGCATACACACACTAAACCGGGCAAAGTATTTTGGAATAAATAGAATAGAATAGAATAACACTTTGTCATTGCATGTGCAACAAAATCACCAGAGTGCTATCCAGACAGTGCATCAAAATACATTCACATGCAACCCTACAATAAATCAGATTAAATATTAACTGAATTTAGCAAAGATGTCGCCCTTGGATAAAAAATGTTTTTAAATCTGTTTGTCCTTGTTTTAATAGATCTATATCGTCTTCCTGATGGCAGTAGTTCAAGCAAAGGGTGTCCAGGGTAGGAAGTGCCCTTTATAATATTTTGTGCTTTTTTAAGACAGTGGGACCTGTACAGTTCCTCCAAGGTGGGGAGGGGACAGTCAACAATCTTCTGTGCTGTATTAATCACCCTCTGGAGTGATTTTCTCTGGTACAACCCACAGATGCACTTATAGTATGACAATATATTTTGTATTGAGCATCGATAAAAGGACACCAACAGTCTCTGAGTGATGTTATTCTTCCTAAGCATCCTTAGAAAGGACAATCTTTGTTGAGCCTTTTTCAGTACCTCTGAGGTATTTACTCTCCAGGACATATCTCCTCAATATAGACACCCAAAAACTGAAAAACCCTCAGTCTTTCTATCTAGTCTCCACTGATGGATAATGATGGAATATCTATCCCCTTCTTCTTATAATCTATTACAGGCTCCCTAGCTTTTGAAGTATTTAGAAACAAGTTATTCTCACTACACCATTTTGCTAATCATTCCACCTCGTCCCTATAAGCAGAGTCATTCTCCTCTGAGATGAGCCCTACTACTGAGGTATCATCCGCGAACTTAACAATGGTATGGCTGTTATAAGTAGAAATACAATCATATGTATAGAGGGTATAGAGCAGGGGACTCAGCACACAGCCTTGCGGTGAACCAGTACAATGACAATGCAGTATGAAGGACTGGAGCGACGGCATCTTCCGTTGATCTATTTGCTCTATATGCAAACTGGTCGGTATCAAAATTCTGGGGGAGAGATGATGTAATATGACTTCGAACCAGTTTCATCATTACTGAAGTGAGTGCAACCGGTCGGTAATCATTTATACTGGTAATGTGAGATTTCTTGGGCACAGGAACAATAGTGGAACGCTTCAGACAAGATGGGACACTTGATTGTAGCAATGACTGGTTAGATATTCTAGTGAAGACTCTGGCCAGTTGGTTCACACAATCCTTCAACACTCGTCCAGGCATGCCATCAGGTCCAGCAGCCTTCCTTGGATTGACAGCTTTCAGCACGCACCTCACCTCATGCTCTTCCACTTTAAGAATGAAATTGCTATGAGCTGGGGACTGTAAAACAGCCCTGGTTGATGTTTCCCCTCCAAACAGAGCAAAAAATATGTTCTGTTCCTCTTCCAATGCTGCATCACCCACCACAGCTCCAGTATTGGTCTTATAGTAAGATGCTGGATTCCTTGCCATCCTTGCCTGCTATTACTACTGTCCACATGGTCCTCAGTCCTCCTTTTATAGTCTAACTTGGTCTCACTGATGCCTCTCCTTAGGTTAGCTCAGGCCATACTATAAATGGCCCTGTCACCAGACCTGAAGGCAATGTTCCTTTCCCCTAACAGCTGCTGTACTCCCTTAGTCATCCAGGGCTTCTGATTGGGGTAGACCCGGATCTGTTTGTCCACTGTGACAGTATTTATGTAGCTTCCAGTACAGTGGTGCCTCGCTTAACGATGTTAATTCGTTCCAGCGAAATCGCAGAAACATCATCATGAAGCGGATTTGTCGTTATACGGGGTAATCGTTAAGTGGGGCACGACTGTGTAACACATGACACTGTCCATGAACATCTCCAGGTCCTGATGTTCAAAAACCTCTCAATTAGTCTGATCGTAACAGTCCTGCAGCTAAACAGGTCAGTTTAGACGTTATTATATGGGTTAATAGCAAGTACATGTATGATAGATGGCATTCAATGGACAAACAATGGACAAACCAGAATCAGAACCTGTGTTTTGAAATGGGATTGCAAACCTGGATTTGGGGACAAGATTATATGACATGATAACAAAATTAACAAATCGTACTCTTGGCTAATTCTGCACTAAAATTTGTTGGAGAAAGGAAAGGTGATATTCAGAAACCGAAAACTCACTCCCAGACTAGGGAAGAGCAAGGGGCTGCAGATAATGCATCCGAAACTCTTCTGCGGTGGTAAAAATGTTAAGGGATGGCACAGGGCGACCCAAGAACCCAATCATAGCTGTTTTTATATAGCACCATTTAGCTTTGTCAAGAGAACTAGTGTAATGTGTAGAGGACAGAGTGAGAGACAAGGACTCAGGAGACCTGGGTTCACTTCCCAGCTTGGAAATGTGGATGATGGTGGTGATGGGTGGCAGTTGTAAAATCACTCGTTAAATATGCCACATAGCTTAAAAACCCTATTGGGATCACCATAATTTGAATGTGACTTGGCAACACATAACACAGAGCTTGTCAGGGAACATGAGGAATGAAGGAAGTGATAGCTGCCGGCCGACAATGACTGCAGCTTCTGTATGTATAATTTCCAGAAATCTTACTCGTCTGTTTCTTTTTAATCGTTGCTGAGTGACAAGGTTATTTAATACTAATCTTACCATCCTTTCAGTGGTTTGCCTTTTCTTTTTCTCACTCCTTTACCATCCCTCACTGCAGCTACGTTGAAGGAGCTGATATCACAGACTATGGTTCGCTGGGCGCAAGAAGATCAGATCCAAGATCCAGAATTAGTCCGCATTATGTTTAACCTTCTTCGACGGCAATATGACAGCATTGGTGAGCTGCTGATGGCGCTGAGGAAGTCCTATACTATAAGTGCTGCTTCTGTGCAAGATACAATCAACTTATTAGCCGCCCTTGGTCAAATTCGCTCCCTTCTCAGTGTCAGAATGGGAAAAGAAGAAGAATTGCTTATGATTAATGGCCTAGGGTATGCAATGAACATCCCTTTCTTTTAAAGCCTTAAATGCAATTTTAAGACTAGAAATAATTCTTTACTTTACTTGCTGATCCTTGGTTATAGTAGAACGCTATTATTTGGGCTGAGTTATATTTGGTGAATAAACTCTATTTTGGTTGTTTTGGGTTTTTTGGGCTCTTTGGCCATGTGCTCAAGGTTGTTTTTCCTAACGTTTCGCCAGTCTCTGTGGCCGGCATCTGGAGTAGCACTCTGTGCTCTGGTGCAGTTTGTTTGGGAGTTGAGTATTTATCGGAACAGGGCCAAAGAGCCCAAAAAACCCAGAACAACGATTAGATCCCGGCCGTGAAAGCCTTCATGAATACAAACTCTATTTTCTTTTAGCGGCTGTTGAGCACATAAATTGACCTTCCACAAAGTCAGCCCATTGGTCCACGCTGATTGATATTATTTGCTCTGTCTTTTGCAAAGGTCTCATCCGGTCTTGCTCCTCACTTATAATGTTTTTCTATAGAACATTGAGAAGGTGTTACATTGACATGGGAACATCCAAAGGTCTGAGGGGTCACACATGTCAAGCCCTGGAGCTTGAAAGGCCATAGTCATTTCTGCTCTCAGCTGCTTTGTGTTATTTTAAAATGGGGGCTAAGAAAGCTTCCTTACATCTTTTAATGGGCCAAAAATATTTATTTAATTAAAAATATGAGTAGTGGAACCCATATTGCACCACCACCACCCTTAAAGGGCACAAGGTGATTTTAAAAAAAAATCTTCATTTTCCCCATTTTTAAAGGATTCTGGAATCTGAGGGAGATGAAGGCAATGTTTGGACCCCTGGAGGCTGTTTGCAGCCTGGAGGTTTCATGTCATCCGTCCCTGTCTTATGTGGACATTTTCTGTGCAGAGCATGTGGATTGCCACTGGGCTATGGGCTAAATTAGGCACATGTTAGAATTGGAATATAAGTATCCTTACCTGTATAATTGGTCTAGAATTATGACATCCAAAAATGCATTTCATGGTATTCCCTTTGTTATATTTCTTTTTTTTCCTCATCCCACTTAGAGAAATAATGAACAACAAAGTATTTTATCAGCATCCTAACCTAATGAGAGTCCTTGGCATGCATGAGACAGTTATGGAAGTAATGGTAAATGTTCTTGGAGGAGACAAATCTCAGGTAATTTCCCAAGTATTTATTCTTCTGCAGTGACCCATTTATAGCTAGAAGAAATTATACGTGAAACAGTATGGTGGTTTAAATATGGGCAGGATATAATGTGGCCTATCTGGTCTATTCACTATGACTGTTGCTTCAGGGAAGGAGGACTATCAAGATCAAGCATGTAACTGAAGTTGGGAAGTTTTCCAAAAAGACATGACCACGTGTTATTCCTCAATTTTGCCTAATGAAGTCTGGAAAAAGTCTCATGATTTAAAATAGGGAATTCTGGCAATCTTCTCTGTTTTATGCCACTTAGGTTAATAGTTTTCTTTGTCTCACTCAGGCTCTAGTGACTTTTGTTTGTCTCAACTATTGCCTTAGTGTCAAGTCTTCAATCATATTTTCTCCATTATCTTAGCTACCACTTATTAACCTTCCACATATTTTTTTCTATTCTAAATTTTCTTCTTTCTCTCAAAACAAGAAGCAAAATCCTTTCATATTTCTTTTCCATGTCATTGCTGTCTTTGCTTCCCCACCTTCTCTTGCTGACTTTTCTATGGTTTTGTCGGGAGGGAACCACTTCAAAAGTTTTTGGGTTGGCAGGTCATTCAAGGTAAGTGTGTGTGTGGTCATTCATGGCATCATGTAAGCTGTTCTCCATGCCATAGATGAACATCTTTGGACACCCACCAGGCTTGCACTGGCCTTATAAATTTATTTATTTATTTATTAAACTTCTACCCTGCCCATCTAAACCAAAGATCTACTCTATGGACTTATTTACTGGGAATTGTGAGGCCCAGTTTCACATTCCTGCTGAATGAAGAAACTTGCAAGATGACTTGAAGCCGATCATTGTCTCTCATTCTGTTCTACCTGACAGAGTTGTTATGAGGCTAAAATTTGCAGGGGAGCCACATACACCATCCTGAGCTCATGAGTCACAAGTCAGTATATAAATATAAAAGAATTTAGAGAAAAATAATCTTCATTCTAATTAACGTCTGCTCCACTCTGGAGTGATCTTATATACCAGGTGTTTCTGGCTCATTTATTGAGAAAAAGAGGAGAGAAAAACTAAATATGGCATACATTGTCCAGATTTTTCAGTACAGTGCTGTGAAAATACTTGATGTTATTTTCTTCTTTCTCCCTGAATGTTGTCTCATTTGCTGAGATTGACTACCATCATGGCAGATTTCTTTCTAGCTCTTGCTTTGTGGATTAGCTGTTTGCTATTAATTTCCAGTCAAGAATGTCATATTCTACCTCTTCCATGTTTCCCCTCGATCTTCTGTTCAGTGAAGTATTACAGTATATTTGTCATGACAAATTGGGGGTCCAAAATATGAGAGCTTTCGTTTCTTAATAATCAACTCAGTTTCTTTTTGTTTTTCTATCCAAAGAAGTAACTCTTTTTTCTTTATTGTATCAATCCATGGGATGCAAAAGATTCTTCTATATGTCCACATTCCAAGAGTATTTATTTTCTTGAACATACTCTAAACCTCACACATATGTATGTATGTTGTTATAAAGAATTGTAAAATATCATGATTATTTGGTGCAATGTGTTTAAACAGTTTTGCCTTACAGATGGTATTTTGAGAACCTGAAAATTACCATAGTAGTCTTCTGTTTGACACTTGAATGACTTAAGCAGACAAATGTGTATAAGAAATGTTATTAGATGACAGAAGAAAATCACTAATGGTTTTGAGCACTGACCCAGACATGCCTGCCAAGAGACAAATGGCTTAGATGTAACATTCTCGTACTTTTAGTATTCAGCAGAAATTACTAGTTTTCACTTCTCTTAGTACACGCATGAAAATGTAGAAATATTTATGAGTTTCTCAACCATGCTAATGGTGTGTGCAAAGTTGTGATTTGGCTGATAGACAGAGGAACCCCAGTAAAAGGCTTTGCACCCTTCCCTTGTAGGAGATACAACAAGTTGAGAAGAAGAAAGGGAACTGTACGGGTGAAACATGGCTATAGGAATACTACCGGTGGTGAAGAGAGTTGCTCATACCAGTGCACAAGTATAGTACAGTGGATGTTCAGTCAATGAGAGAGTGGCACTAGCATTATTATGGAAATTTGCTTAATCATTTTGAGTAATTTGAATAGTGGTCGACAAAAAGAAGAGAACAATAGTTTTAATGCATGTCTTTCGTACTTTCTGCACTCTGCATTTTTTGCACTTGCTCAGCTCTTGTATCAGCAAACTGGCTAGCCTTCATTATATTTTCATAAGCACAACTGTTTATGCCTTAATTTTTATCTTAATTTTTCTTGTAATGTTAGTTTGGCAATAGCCAGTTGAAAATTGCACACCTCTTAAATGTCGAGAGGACTAATTAATTTAATGCAGTACCTAAAATGGCTTGTTGTTGATTTATTTTTAATTGATGTGAACAATAATATTCATTGAAGTAAAATGGCTACTGTACAGATGGATGCTTGTTTTAGATGCTTTTCAGGAAAAAAAATTCCATGGAACCTCCAAGCTGTTCATAAAAGGCATCTTTGGTGTAGTTATTTTCTGTAACTGTTTCACTGAGCTGGATTATAACATGTATTGTTTACAGGGCTGTTCTATTCATGTTTTCATTAGAATTCTTCCACATATTCACAATTTTTGCAGGGTTCTTTTCTTCCCTGTCTTCTTTGAAAAAAACTGCCCTATTTTTTCCCAATATACTTACTTGATATTACAGCTATTCACTCTGAGAACAGTCTAATTTGCCCTGAGTATGGGTGTTAAATTCTTGTTATGGAAGTTTCTATTATGTATAAATACTCTGTAGAGGATACACAAACTTGTCCCACATCAAAAACAGTTTAATCTTCAGTATCAAACAATTTTTCCCTGTTGTGCTTTGCACAGTTGATGCAAAATTATCGTGGCACCTTTTCTATTCATAAAACTAAGCAGCCCTCTCTCTCACACACACACACACAAAAGACAGGCTGATAACTGAAAAAGATACAAGCAAGCATCCAGTTCTTCTACTTTTTATTAGTATACGCAACAGTCCAGTTGTTAATATAATTACAAATTTTGCATATCTAGGGAAATATATAAAAATTGAGATATTTCTTCCCATTAAGAAAGTTTGGGAAGTTATATTTCTTTTATTAGCTTTAACAAGGTAAAATGCATCAAGGGATGTGTCAAGATCATGCCAAGACAGAGGGGCCGCACTATCCACTTAGCCACACTACCCTGTGTTTCCGAGTGTGCTGATTGTAGGGCCAAGAATCCTCCTGTCCAGTACCCTCACAACACCTTAGTCCTTTCTGACGAAGTAGTGTGCTTCCAGGGAGTTACCAAAAAATCCACAGAGTTAAGCACTTTAATTCTTACACTAACTCTGAAAGGTAGGAATATAAAAAATATCCACAGGTTCTTGATAGAAGGTTGAGACTAGGCCTGGTTTTAGTATCACCAAATTATCAAATCATTGTCAATTTTTATATTTATTAAAGATGGTGAAAATGTCAAAATGTAAAAAAGCAGTTCCAACAGTTACAGAATAGTTAAAGATCGGGGGGGGGGGGAAAAAGCAAGCAAAAGGTTTGAGGCAGGAACAATGAAAGGAAAGAAAGAAAGAAAGTTAGCTAACTTAAGCTAATATATCTTGGCATTGCTTCAACACATTTCCAGAGCATAGGCGGAGTGCAAGTCATACAGCAAGGCAACAAATGAACATAGCATTCTCCTAAAAGATAACTAGGCTAAACTAAGCAGCTTTTCTTTTCAGACTTTCGTGAAGAAAAGAGTAACTTAATAAAATAATAAATAATAAAATAATAAAACTAATCGTAATAATAACTTCTCCCTACTCCCCAACTCAGCTGAAACCATTCTGGTAATTAGCCCTGTACCAAGGAACCAGAGCAAACTGGCCTTGAAATTTCCTCTCTCCCAAAATGAGGTGCAGGTGGGTGCTACTGTGGGCACTTTCTCCCTTTTCTTCCAGTCCTCTAGTCCTAAGCACAAATTACAAGGCCTAATTTTCTAGAAGAGCAACAGAAACCATGAGCTCTTGTTTCCTCATGCTCTAGAGCCTCATGGTACAGTGATTAAACTGCAGTAGTGCAGTCAAGACTCTGCTCATGACCTGAGTTTGATCCCAATGAGCTCAGGTAGCCGGCTTGAGGTTGGCTGAGTCTTCCATCCTTCTTGGGTAGGCAAAATGATTACCCAGCTCACGAGGGGCGGGGCAATGTGTAGCCTGCATAATGAAGTCGTAAATTACCCAGAGAATGCTTTAAGCACTATAGGGTGATATATAAAGCACATTTTGCTTTGTTTCTCAATCTCTTAGCGGGCTGTTATCAACTTTGATGCATAAATCAACAGCAGGGGATAAAACATAGAATGCTTTTTCAAAAAACCCTTTCCTATAAATCATAAACAGATGAGGATGAAAGGTTTCAAGTGACTGGTTTTAGCATAATTAAAACAACAACAACAGATAGCACAAAAACAAGCAAGCATATGTTGAAATAGAAACAATTTCCTGTAACCCTGTACTTCCTGAAGATTTGCTCTAGAGTGCTGAAGATGCCTCTGGAATGGTGTTGGAAATGATGCTAAAGAATTCTGGTAGGAGGGAAATGGGCGTAAATCACCTACTCCATACACATGAATGCACACACCAGTGGAGCCTTTGCGGAAGGACAACTCAGGATCCATGTACTCGTCACTCTCATGGAGTTCTACAATGAGTTTCTCCATTGTTGTCAAGGGAAAATGTATCTGTGCAGTAGATTCTGTCAGTTGCATATAATAAATCATGAGGAACTTAACCAGAATTAGTAACTTCTGCCATCTAACAACCTTTTCTTCTCTCACAGATTGCTTTCCCCAAAATGGTTGCAAGTTGTTGTCGGTTCCTGTGCTATTTCTGTCGAATCAGTCGCCAGAACCAAAAAGCCATGTTTGAGCATCTCAGCTACTTGCTTGAAAATAGCAGTGTGGGACTTGGTATGTTCTATAATTTTAATAATAATTTACCTACACTTACCATATCACAGGTCTGGGTTATAATTAGGAACTTGACAAATTTTCACTAAATATCTTGTTCTCTGTGCTTCTTCCCAGTTTTGTCAATGTGGAGAAATCTTCACGAGACTTTGACCAAGGAGAATTTCCCTATCTCTCTGCAAGGAGGCTTTTGTTCATTTCCCTTTTTTGTTTCCTGAAGTTGAAATCTTGTGCAGGAATGACCAAATTCTACACAGGAAGTGACAATTCCTGCACAGAGGTTTGCCATTTCCCCACAGAGTAAACATTAATAATTCCTGCACATGTCCAGAAATACTCCCTGAGATTTTCTGGACATCAGTGGCTTTAAAGGGCAAGGAGAGGTCCTTCCGTAAAATCTTTTCCGGGTGGTGAAGACCAGAAGGGATTGTGAAGAGCTCCAGAATGGAGTGGGAGAATGGACAGCAAAATGGCAAATGTGTTTCAGTATAAGAAAATGTAAAGTAATGCACATTGGGGCAAAAAAAAAAATCAAAACTTTATCAGCTGATGGATTCAGAGCCCTCTGTGACGGATCACGAAAGAGATCTTGGTGTGCTGGTGGACAGCTCAATGAAAGTGTCAGCCCAGTGTGCCAAGATTTCTTTACCCAGCATATTGTTAGTCTGTGGAACTCCTTGCCACAGGATGTGGTGATGGCATCTGGCCTAGATGCCTCTAAAAGGGAATTGGACAGATTCCTGGAGGAAAAGTCAATTGCTGGTTAGAAGCCACGATGGGGATGTACAATCTTCAGGATTAAAAGGAAGGTACCTCCAAATGCCAGATGCAGAGGAGGGGTATCAGGAGACAGTTATCTAGCTGTCTCGTGTGCTCACAGAGGCATCTGCTAGGGCCACTGTGAGATCCAGGAAGCTGGAGTAAATCGGCCCTTGGCCTGGTCCAGCAGGGCTCTTCTTATGTTCGTATGTTTCAGCAAGTTTCTCTCCTGGGTGATCTGGTTACAAGATGATCTCAGGGAGAAAAGAAAAATAGTTTTATCCCCTGTGCTTCTTGGACAAAATAAGACGCAGCAAGATTCATATCCTTTGTTATTATCCATTATGCTTTGATTTTGTTATGATTTTGATTTGACTTTTATTTGCATTGACAATATTTTTTCTGTTAAATATTGAAAATGTGTAGTTTTATTTAGATTTTATAAGTTGAAGAAAAAAATTAAAATAGTTATTTTTGCCATTTAAATATATTTAAAAATCTAATAGTGGAGTTCTCTGCATGGTTTTTTGTAAACCACTGTGGTATTTTCAAAAGAAACTCAGTGTAAAATGGATACATAAACAAACTCACAACTGAATTTTATAAAGTGACAAACCATTTGCCATTTAAAGTGGCATACCTTTTGTACAGATGCAAAGAATACAATGTGACTCTAGGATCAATAAGTAAGAATGAATCAAAGAAGAAAAGGTTTTGGAATCTGCTCTATAAACTGAGACACTGGCCAAAATCTTGTTGTGTGGATTACTTAGCATTAAGACTGATGAAATCATCAGCAACAATAATTTTTCAGAAACGGAACATTTCGAATAACTTCACACTCCAAATGTAACTTCTCTCAGCCCCCTCCTTTCAGTTCTCATGAGAATCTCTGCTAGTGAGCCATTAGGAGTGGAATGCCTATGGCTCTGTGTGGTAAGTCCTGGAACAAAGCAAAACAAATCTTTCTCAGGTAGATAAACCGCCCAGAGTGGTCGACCAGTCCAGATGGGCGGGATACAAATCAAATCAAATCAAATCAAATCAAATCAAATCAAATCAAATCAAATCAATCAATCAATCAATAAATCAAATCAAATCAAATCAAATCAAATCAAATCAAATCAAATCAAATCAAATCAAATCAAATCAAATCAAATCAAATCAAATCAAATCAAATCAAATCAAATCAAATCAAATCAAATCAAATCAAATCAAATCAAATCAAATCAAATCAAATCAAATCAAATCAAATCAAATCAAATCAATCAATCAATCAATCAATCAATCAATAAATAAATAAATAAATAAATAAATAAATAAATAAATAAATAAGTGCCACCTGGAGCACCCTGGAGAAGTATGACATAATTCATCTGATTCTCTCACAAGGGAGTCCGCCCATGTCTTATTTGATCTTCCTCTTCTGGTGCCTTCCACATTTCCTAGTATTATTGTCTTTCCCAGAGAATCCTGTCATCTCATTATGTATTCAAAGTAGTACAGCCTCAGTTTCAACATTTTTGTCTCCAGAAATAGTTCAGGGTGGATTTAATATAGGACCTACTAGTTTGTCTTTCTGCATATCTGCTGTCCAGCACTTCAAACAAATCAATTTTTCCTGTCAGCTTGCATACCCATACATACATAGTGATCAGAAACAGAAAAGCGGATAAACTTTTGCAGTTCCTTCATTGCTGCACTTCCTAGTCTCATTCTTAAATCATCAGCCTTAATGACGCTTAATTTACAGCCACAGAATCTGAGTCATGCTATGCTGAAGTACAGAATTCTAAAATGTACAAAACGTATTTGAGTTTTGTCCAAAGTGTAATGTAACTGCTGCCCTCTGCTGTATAAGAAAAACATCGCTGAAGTATTATTTTAACTGGAATACATTGTAATGTCTTTTTTTTCAAGCCTCGCCTTCTATGAGGGGTTCCACTCCACTAGATGTAGCAGCTGCATCTGTAATGGACAATAACGAGCTTGCACTTGCACTGGAGGAGCCAGACTTGGAAAAAGTAATTATTTACAGTCTTTATTTTCTCTCTTTCTCTCTTGTACTTTCAATTATATTTTCTTCCATTTAACAAGGCTTAGTTTTCACTAAAGAAATTATTACTCTTTATTGTTTTACCACAGCCTACTCACTCTGAACCTGTGCAAAAAGAAACAGTGATGGTTTGTTTAAATGTGTTCATGGATATAAGTTTGTGAAATACTTGTGGGGAAAGGGCAAACTTGGAATAATTTTTAAAAATAATAAGTAGTAATGAAACATCACTTATGTTAAAAAAGAGAGGTTAGATTATTGATCTTTACATTATTTTTGAAACGTTAAATGCTCTTATTTCCACCAAAAATACCAAGTTACAAGTAAATGTCATTTGAGTGTGCTGCTCTGAAGCTCTGTGAAGGTGAGGCTGGTGGCTCTCAGGAGTGGTTAAGCCCAGCTGTGTTTGACCAGGTCAAGTGCTCATGCATATTTGGAGTGCCATTTAGTGAGTACTTCAGACTCCCACAAGCCTGCTTCTGCTGATCGCCATTTTTCAAGAGAGAAAAACGTTTGTGTGAACTCAGTTTCTTAATCCTCACACAGCATTGTCAGTATTATCAGAACTGATTTTTCTGGCAACAGAAAATCAGTACAGTACATGTGTTTTCTGAGGAGAAAGGTAGACACTAAAAATAATTCATTATTGGAAGAAGAAAATCATCTCTAACTAATGAGAATCTGTCACTTAGAGGAGTGGGTCTGCTTTGGTGATTGTTCAGGATTTAATACGTGAGATTACTCTGAAGTCTGATTTTGCAAATCCAAAAGACTGCCTCAGTCACCTCTCTTCAACACTAAAGTGCTTTTTGCTGTGACTATGAGCTATCTGTAACATCTACTTCTGCTCTGAATTTTTAATCTGAGGTCTTCCTGGCAGTAAGTACTTCTGTGTTTATGAACTGAGACTGTTTCGTTCTGCAGATAAATCCTTTCTTCTGGTTGGGTTATCACCAGTTGTCAGTTATGCCACTGCCTGTTTAATTAAATCAATTTGTTTCACATTTTTGTAACTTCTCTAAGTTTCCAATATGTTGCTTAGTGTTTTTGATTTCTTGGGACCAACACTACAGTAGATGATACCAGCATTTGTATTGGACAGGTTGTGACCTACTTGGCTGGTTGTGGCCTTCAGAGTTGTGCAATGCTATTAGCAGCAGGCTATCCTGATACTGGTTGGAATCCAATAGAGGGCGAACGATATCTTTCCTTCCTACGGTTTGCTGTTTTTGTTAATGGTAAGTTTAAATACTGAATTGAAAAACAGGAATCTGCAACCCTTCTGTGATCGAATCTTGATCACAGACTTAATTCTCAGAAAGTGTATGTTCACAAAAATATTCCTTCCTTTCACAAAAAAAAAAAAAAGATTGAGAATAGTTTCTAAAGTTCTGAAGAGAACTGCAGTTATATATACAGTATAGCAAAGACCAGTATGAGACTTTAAGGACTAAGAAGATTCTTAGCTGAAATACTGTTTGTATAAGTTTTGTAGTAGAATGCTGAAGATATCATCAGATATCATCACAGGGCAAACTTTTCTTTTCCTTTGTTGGAAACTGAGGCTGCAGTCACACCAGCAAAATGTTTCTGAGTTACTCCTCATGAGTTTTGATCCTTTTGGGGGGAGGTTTCAGATGACACACGGCCATTACCAATTCTTTTGTCTCCCTTCTGTGCCATCTCTGCATCAAATGCAGCCTACTGGGAGGCTACTACTATATCTGTTCCATGTTTCAACTTACAGTACAACAAACATTCCATTGATTGTGTACTAGAAAACCAATTCATTTCCTTTACATCTGGTGTGCGATACCACCACCACCACCACTGGCTTTCGTTCAACATCCTTAATTGTTTAGAAAATAATTTTCAAACAGGAATGTCATTGCACTGGTATGCTTCTATCAAAAGGGCTGTTTGTTCTCCACATTGAGGGTAACACAGCATGGAAACAGTAAAAAAAAAATGCCCCAGATCAGCACATGGGCATCTTGCCGACACACCAATAAAGTTTTTAGAAAGAAGGGGAAGGATAGCAGAGAAATTCACAAAAAGAGGAAGGGATATGCCCTTCTGCAGAGGCATAGATGAACATACTGCATCTAAGTCAACTAAAAAACATATGAACCACTATCACAGGATATATGTCATGTGACCACAATGCATACCTCTACAAGAAGCAGAAGACACAAGAAAACAGGACTGCAGCCTGGGTTGGTAGATAGTAGGCATGTGTTGCCATGTGTGTAGAGAGAATTGGGCGGGTGTGTGTGTGTGTCACCAAAAAGATTATAGAGGAATATAGAGACAGTAGTATTTATGTTAACATTTAGATATAATACCTCTGATAAACTGAAAGTTACTTTTTCTGTTTGTTGTAAAAGGTCTCCAGAATTGTAAGAGCTAGAAACACAGAGTGTCATACAGATACTATGATGTCCCCAACGTAAATAACTAAGTGGTTATATTGCAACTGGCCGTGCTAGCTGAACCGTTGTAGTTCTCTAACTGAAACAATAGAGAGGTAGAGCAATGGGGTGGGGTGGGGATTAACTCATTTCTAACCCTGGTAAATACTAGAGTGAAACAATGATAGTGAAAGGTCAAAAAAAGTGCCAATAAACATCTGTTAACTCAGGGCAGTGTTCCATGCTCCTTGTGAATCGTATTCCCACCCATGAAAAGTTATACCAGAGTGGTCGACCAGACCAGATGGGCAGGATATAAATCAAATAAATAAATAAAATAAAATACCACAATAAAAGTGTTAATCATTATAGTGTCACAAGACTTGCTTGTGCTACTTCTCCTTTATCCACCCCCAAAATCCTTCCAAAAATACATATATTCATTGCCTGTTTCTTTCCTTTCTCTTTACACAATACAACTTTTATAACTTCTTCCCATATTTCATTGAATCTATTAACCTTTATCTCTCCCTTTTTTTAAACTTAATTTCTGAAGTCAGTTTATCATTAACTGCCACATTCCATATTTCATTGTGCCACTCTTGCAGCTGGAAATCCCAAGTCTTCTTCCAATTCTTTGCTATAAACAATCAAGCTGCAGTTATCAAATTCATTACCATGTCTTTTTTTATTATTATTATTCATATCACAATTTTCTATCATCAGTAATAGTGCTGTTTTTGGAACCATTTCAATATTGATTTCCAATAATTCTCTGATCTCTTCAAAAAACACAACCCATACTTTTTGTATAACTTCACAGTTCCACCAAAATGAAAATATGTACCAACTTCTTTGTTGCATTTCCAACATTTTTAGAATATTTAGAATGTATAATATAGGTGTGCCTCGGTTTACAAAATTAATGCGTCCTCTGGGATGTTACATCATGCAGAAATTTCATAAACCGATATGCAGATTGCGCTAGGAATGGGGGCGGTGCTAGAAACCTCCAGGTGCAATGTGTCCTGGGGAATCCCTTTCGTACAGTGGGAAAAAAGAGGAAAAGAATGTAAACCATTATTTTCTATTATTTCAGTTTGTAAACCAAAAATTATGTAAACTGAGGCTTTCATAAAGTGAGGTACCACTGTATTTAATTTTACCTGTGTTAAATATCATCTCCATAATATTTTATAACCATTTTCGGTACCACTGTATTTAATTTTACCAGTGTTAAATGTCATCTCCATAATATTTTATAACCATTTTCTTTTATCCTAATTGGCATATTTTTAAAACCCTTCTGTTGCAGTTTTTTCCCCAATCTTCTTCATCTATCTTCCCTACTGTTTTTAAATCTAACTGTCCCCCTGATCCATCAAGATTGTATAAGTTACCCCCATTCTTCCTCAATTTTCCCCATCTATGTCTTTATCCAAATTCTTTATAATTTCTTCAAACTTAGTCTATTTTCTATCCTCTAGTTTTAATTTCTCGCTCTCTATTAACCACTTCTCCTATAGCATTACATTTAACCAATTTAGTTTTTCTTCAGCAAACGGACTCTTATTTGTTCTTTAGTTTTCATTTTTCTTTCTTTCTATTCTTCCCATTTGTTTATCTGCTTTCTTTTTAAGACACTTGTTAACCCCTTAAATCCATATTTTGGAATTTTTTATAATTGGAAAATTTTCCAATTCTGTTACTGGAGTTAAGGGAGATATTCTGGAACTGAATATCTGTCTCCATTTATTCCACATCTTCTGTTTTATCTTGTTCAGCTTGTTCAATAGGAATATTCCTGGGAAAACTAATGCTAGGGATGTGAATCTTGCATCTTTTGCTCCCGAGCAAATAAAACCACTGCCAAACAAACCACTATTTTCTCTTTGCAACAAGATTTTTCTACCCCTGCAAAATTTCATGGAAAAATCTCACAGAATTTTTCAGATGTTTCGTAATAATTTCTCCTTGAAGGAATAGCAAGTTTTTCAGGACTATTGACAATTTCTGCTCAGAATGGCATCTTTCCTGCATAGAAAAGTACAGACAAAAGACCAAGCTGCACAGGACTGTAATGATACGTATGCAAAATGGCACCGTTCCTCTGTAGATCATCTTTCCTGCATAGAAAAGTACAGGACTGTAATGATACGTATGCAAAATGGCACCGTTCCTCTGTAGAATTAATCAAAAACACATTAAGCTTTGCAGGATTTGGTAGTTTTGCACACAGAGCAACAACAACAACAACAACAAAGATAAAACAAAACAAACAGATAAAAACATTACAGTGGTGCCCCACATAGCGATGATAATCCGTTCCGGAAAAATCATCGCTATACGGATTCGTCGCTATGCGGAACAAAAAAGCCCATAGGAATGCATCAAAACACGTTTAATGCGTTCCTATGGGCTAAAAACTCACCGTTCTGTGAAAATCCTCCATACGGCCGCCATTTTCGCTGCCCGGTAAGCGAAGAATGGGCGCGAAAACACTGCGGGCGGCCATTTTTTTTACCTGGCGGCCATTTTGGAACCACAATCAGCTGTTAGGAAAACATCACTATGCGAAAGTCGGTAAGCGAAACAGCTTACCGACCATTGCAAAGCAATGTGGAACCGCCGATCAGCTGTTAGGAAAACATCGCTATGCGAAAATCGGTAAGCGAATTACCATTTAAAACATAGCAATACGATCGCAAAAGCGATCGTAAAAAAACCATTGCTATGCGGATTCGCTGTTAAATGGGGCGCCCGTTATGCAGGGCACTGTTAAACGGGGCGCCCGTTATGCGGGTCACCACTCTATAGGTAAAGGTTCCCCTTGACATTTAGTCCAGTTGTGTCCAACTCTAGGTCACAGTGCTCATCTCTGTCTCCAAGCCATAGAGCCAGTGTCTGTCCGTAGACGGTTTCTGTGGTGATGTGGCCAACATAACTAGACACAGAATGCCGTTACCTTCCCACCATGGTGGTACCTGTTTATCTACTCACATTTACATGCTTTTGAACTGCTAGGTTGGCAGGAGCTGGGACAAGTGACAGGAGCTCACTCTGTCGCATGGATTCAATCTCAGGACTGCTGGTCTTCTGACTTTGAAGCACAGAAGCTTCTGCAGTTTAGGCTGCAGTGCCACCATTATAGGCAATATGGAAATCAATTATAAAAAAGACAAAAATGTGGTGGCACCTTAAAGGCTAACTAATATATTTTAATGTGACCTTTTGTGGACAAGTCCACTTCATCGGACATAAGAGAAAGATATTTAAATCTCTATAAAAGTTTGTCTTTAAATGCCACCATGTTTTTGTCTTTTTTTACTTTTTATTTCTACTTTGCTTTTACTTATAATGCTTATACAGACTAACATACCTACCCCTTCTACAACTATAGGGTTAAAAAAGGAAAATAAAATAAAAAATATTTTACAATCAATGAGATTTTCCCTAGTGAAAATTTTCTAGATGTAGAACATTACTAACAATAAGCTGCTATCCAGCTCAGCTCAGACAGGACAAGCATTCAGAGGAAAGCCTTTGAAGCTTACTTCTGGCAGTAGTTCTATTTGTTGAAACAGAGGCTCCTGGATCCTACACAGGTCCTCAGAACCACTGCCTTATTTCTTGTTCTAAAAGGTCTATCCTTACTTTGTCTTTGAAATGCCCATTTCTAGTGAATCCAAATTTTGTCTCAAAATGAAACATCTGTAGCAAATATATGATCTCAAAACTGAATAATTCATTCTGCATGTAGAATTTTGTTAAGATTCTTAATATATTGATTTGTACACTTTGTTCCTGTTTCATTTTGTAGTCTGCTCAGTAAAAGTTGCTTTTCTCTTTTCTAGGTGAAAGTGTTGAAGAAAATGCCAGTGTGGTTGTCAAGCTTCTTATCCGTCGGCCAGAATGTTTTGGGCCAGCTCTCAGAGGAGAAGGGGGAAATGGTTTGTTGGCTGCTATGCAAGGAGCAATTAAGATTTCTGAGAACCCTGCTCTTGATCTTCCCTCCCAGGGATACAAGAGGGAATTGTAAGTGCACATAAACAACATTTTCCACTAGTCAGTAAGATGTTTTTCAAACATCTGAGTTAATTGTCAATCAGTTACAGGTAAACTTGTGTACTCTCTACTTAGGAAAACATAGAAAGGATTATCATAAGTCAGAATTGAATTGACAGCACACATTTACTGCTATTATTATTAAATGCTCACTTGTCTCAATAATAAGCAACTGCAAAATTATTCTCTTTCCCTTTGAGAAGCTGAAGGATGTGATAAGTTGCATAGATCATTTAGTTAAACAGATAACTTACATCTAAGACAAATGCCTGGCTAAATCCATGTGCCATGAACTTTTGATACTCTTTAAATTCTTTGCACTAACAATAAGACACCGGTGCAAGACTGATGAAGTGGGCATCCCGGTTGATGAAAGCTAGCAGATTGTATTTGTCCTCAGTGTGGAAGGGATTGTTACTCTCGAATTGGCCTTCTCAGCCACACTAGATGCTGTTCCATAGAGACCAAAGGATTCTAGGATTTCTTTAGTGGTCTATAAAGGTATCACCTACCTACGCATTCCTCTTTTGTGTTTTTCCTTCTGCTCCTTCCTCCTCCTCCTCTAGTGCCACAGACTTGCAACTGGCTCAAACTTCATTTGTATTTTCACCTATGCAATAAAATATAATGGTATAATTACCCCATTTACCACTAATTCAATTTGCACTCCACATTCTAAGAATGTATTCTGAGCAATAGCCTGGGTATAATTCTATGGTCATTTACATGTAGCATCCAGTGTAGTATAGTTGGTAGAATGCTTGTCTAGGATTCAGGAGACGTAGGTTCAACTCCTCAGTTCACCATAGAAATTCTCTGGAAGTGGAAATGATGAAGATCTCACATACCTACAAAGCCTTATTAGAATTACCAAAAGCCGGAAACAATTTATTGGCTAGTATCCTGTTGCCCAGTTCCACTTGTGCAATGGGATTGCCATTATTGGCCATGGCAGATTGCCACTAATTAAAGAGTTCCTGTTCTGATTTTGGGGTGCTGACTAATCATTCACAATGATACAAAGTTGTATGCACCTTGAAATTAAAAATTGAAACATTTTAATTAATAATAGTCTCCTATGGCCATTAATGTCACTCCCATTGTGCAGGTTGTGGGGGTTCCACATTGTATTTTAAAAACGTTTTAATTTTTAAATGTTTCTATTATTTCTTTCTCCTTTGGGTTTTGCCTGATATGCTTGCACATGGCTTTGTTGTTGTTGTTGTTTAGTGATTAAGTCATGTCCAACTCTTCATGACATGGACCAGAGCACACCAGGCCCTCCTGTCTTCCACTGCCTCCCAGAGTTGGGTCAAATTAATGTTGGTAGCTTCTATGACAACGTCCAACCATCTCATCCTCTGTCATCCCCTTCTCCTCTTGCCATCACACTTTCCCAACATGAGGGTGTTTTCCAGGGAGTCTTCCAGGGAGTTGTTGAAGCAGTAGTTGTTTCTTGTTTGACGAGGTGGCACTGCAGGTTAAACCGCAGAAGCCTCTGTGCTGCAAGGTCAGAAGACCAGCAGTCGTAAGATCAAATCCATGCGACAGAGTGAACTCCCGTCACTTGTCCCAGCTCCTGCCAACCTAGCAGTTTGAAAGTATGTAAAAATATGAGTAGATAAATAGGTATCACCACGGTGGGAAGGTAACGCCATGGCCTGTCTAGTCACGCTGGCCATGTGGACAAACGCTGGCTCTATGGCTTGGAAACAGATGAGCACTGCGCCCTAGAGTCGGACACGACTGGACAAATTGTCAAGGAGAACCTTTACCTTTTACTTTAGTTTGTAAACTACTTTGAATTTTCTCAATACTTTCAAGAATTATTCATGACTGCTTTATTCCTTCTAACAGTCTTGAAGAGGATGAAGAAGAGGAAGAGATAGTTCATATGGGCAATGCAATTATGTCTTTCTATGCAGCTCTTATAGATTTGCTTGGGCGTTGTGCACCGGAAATGCATGTGAGTGGCCTATTTTTATTTATTTCTGTTAAATAAAGTGTAAGTAACTTTGTGTCTCCTTGGTTATCATTCAAACATTATAGCTTGTCATTTGTATCTAGAAAATAATTGTTGGATGCAGAAGGAGAGAATGTTATTTTTAATATTTAAACATTTAAGTGACAGAAAACTATTTTACACTATAGAACCACTGCTTAATGCAACATTAGTTCTCAGTAACACAGGATTCTTTGCTGTCAATGAAGAGGTCATTACATGTGGGAAGTTGTTGTCGTCCTTGCCAGAAGATACAAGTACAAGTCCTGTTGATGTCATAACTGGAAAGGAGCTGTTATTTTCCTTGAGTTATCATCCTATTTCATGCTTTTACTATAAACATGGGTAATATAAAAATGATAATGATGAGTAATTTAGCTGATCAAGAATTTATGATATAGTGTATTCTAGGTTCTTCCTATAAATCAATGGTTTAAAATCTTGGATCCTCAGATATTCTTGAACTGAAACTCCCAGAAGCCTTCACCACTAGCTATGCTGGGTAGGATTTCTGGGAACTGTAGTCCAAGATGTTCTGGGGACCCAGGTTTAGGAAGCATTTCTATAAATGATTATGATTGGATTATGGAGAACCTTTGTACCTGATGATCAGGTGGCTTTCTCTTGCTTCACTAGATGTATAAACTATACTCTTTTTCATGAATCAGTCATTTAGCTGCTGTGATTCATGCTGTGATGGCAAATCTTGATTACTGTAATGTATTCTATATATCTTGAATAGAGACAGGGGCAAACTGCCAAAATGACCCACAAATTGCTCCTGGGTTTTCCAATGAACTATTAATGAGTTTTTCGGGGAGGGGAGGTTTTAGACAACTTGTGATTATCTAAAAAAAAAAAGCTGAGCTTCCTCTATGAGCCTAATGAAGAGATGAATAAAAAAAGGTAAATATTCATCACTTTGTATTTGTGAGGGCCTCCAGAATTGACAAATATGAAGTGATGAATATTACGACTCAGCAATTTCTGATGGATATCACGATTTTTTTTATTCATCCTCATGTCTAATCTTGAATTCTAGAAGTGCCTTCTCCCAGTTATACCTTCACATACCTTAGGATTTTTCTTTCCTCCAATGCTGTATTTTCCTTCCTTTTATTATCCTCAGGGTATGATCCAACATATCACCAGAAAATTTCCAAATACAATTTTTGACTTACCTTTGCTGACAGGAGTGTTTTCAGTTCTATGTCAGTATTAATATTGAGGCTCATATTATCTGATGTTAAACATATGCAATGACAATAGAATGATCTGTTTTTACAATTTTATACTCCTTGTTTCTGCTATAATGAACATGCATGACTTACAAATGCATGTAGCTCCCATGAAGAATCATGGTGGAGGAGGAACGTGTTTTTATGCACTAAATTATGTAGGAGAAAATAATGATAGATTTTTTAAAACAAGAAAGTACCTATTATTTCCAAGACTTACATTTCAAAAACAAAAGAATCAGTAAGAATTTGCTGACTGCTCTCACCTCTGCCAATGAAATACTTTGTAAACAAAAGATAATGTTTCAATATGTTATATTTTAATAGCTTATCCAAACTGGAAAAGGTGAAGCTATTAGAATCCGGTCAATATTGCGCTCCTTAGTACCGACAGAAGACTTGGTTGGAATTATAAGCATACCACTAAAATTGCCAACAGTGAATAAAGGTAAATATGTGAGAAAAACTAGACAACATTGGGGTGAGCAAGCAAAATGTCACATCATCTGCTGCTTCCAAACCCCAATCAGATTGCACCAACTTGGGGAGTGGGAGAATTACTTTTCTGGGAGAAACAGGGACATCATGTCCACCAAACTGAAGGTACAAGTAGTAGATTTGCAACACAGTAGGGAAGACAAAGACTTCAACTGCGAATTTCATTCCCCTTCAACTGGTTCTGGGCTGTACCTGAGAAATGAAAAAGGAATTGACCATGATATGGCAGTGGGGAGGCAGATTGCACCAGCTTTATTTTATTTTCTGATAACTGAACAGTTTCGGGTGCATTTATACATACACATAGGGTTCAATTTGTAGTAAATAAATAATTCCCAACAGAACATGAGCTACACTTAAATATTACTGTATTTTTCATATCAATTTTATAATATTTATTTTATACAATTCTTTTTTGTGTATGGATTCTTTGCCTGTACAGATCAGTACTTCTGTTGTTGTTGCTTAGTCGTTTAGTCGTGTCTGACTCTTCGTGACCCATGGACTAGAGCACGCCAGGCCCTCCTATCTTCCACTGCCTCCCAGAATTGTGTCAAATTCATGTTGGCAGCTTTGATGACACTGTCCAATCATCTCGTCCTCTGTCGTCCCCTTCTCCTCTTGCCTTCACACTTTCCTAACATCAGGGTCTTTTCCAGGGAGTCTTCTCTTCTCGTGAGATGGCCAAAGTATTGGAGCCTCAGCTTCAGAATTTGTCCTTCCAGTGAGCACTCAGGGCTGATTCCCTTCAAAATGGATAGGTTTGTTCTCCTTGCAGTCCAGGGGACTCTCAAGAGCCTCCTCCAGCACCACAATTCAAAAGCATCAATTCTTCGGCAGTCAGCTTTCTTTATGGTCCAGCTCTCACTTCCATACATCACTACAGAAAAAAACCATAGCTTTGACTATACAGACCTTTGTCGGCAAGGTGATGTCTCTGCTTTTTAAGATGGTGTTGAGGTTTGTCATCGCTTTCCTCCCAAGAAGCAGGCGTCTTTTAATTTTGGGGCTGCTGTA